GTATCTTATACGCTTCATTATATTTCGTCAAAATCTCATTTTTTACAATTGAGATTTTATTCATTACCATCACCCAATCTTTATATATAACCCTCTTTCACGCCACCTCCACTAAGAAATTTACCGCAACGTCCCGTAATGCCAATAACAATGGCCTCTCTCTCTAATATCTTACATCAACGTTCTCATCCAGTCGACAAAGATGGTGCAAAGATAGTTTATATATTCTTGCCATCAAATGCATCTCGCCCATACGTATGTCCAATGTGCGATAAAGCATTTTCAAGATTAGAACATCAGACTCGTCATATACGCACTCATACCGGCGAGAAACGACATAGATGCGACTTTCCCGGATGCGAGAAACGATTCTCACGCAGCGACGAACTAACCCGTCATCGCCGTTTCCATAATAACACCAACAGAAGAGACAGTCGCAAGAATAAATTGGAGTTGGAATTTAAAAATATTACCCAATCTACTCCATTTGGCAGATGCAATAATTGCGTTATATCATCTCGACTTTGAATTTCGAATCCACTTCTCTTACATCGTATCAACGTGTATCTGTCAATGAATCAGAAAACCGTGCGTATTTGGATGGTGTTTTAATATACGAGAAGTAGAATACTATGGTACGATACCCAATATTTCATGAAAAAAAGGTAACAGTCATAAAAATGGTGCAATATCATATTAGTCTTGTGTAGACGCTGCTAGAAGGCCGTTGTTCATTCTGTATATAGAATTATGGAATTGCTATTAATTCATGTATTGCATGAATGACGTTAAATGTTTATTCGAACAGTGCGTTGAATTTACTATTACAACTAGTGGGTAGCACAGGAGAAGGGGGAGCTGTACAAGAATCTTAATATTATTATAATATAAATAAAGCAAAGTTGCATAAAATATGATTTTGTTTTTTTTTAAAATCAGGGTAGTTATTATAAAAATCGTGATTGATGATAATAATTTTAATTATCAATCTTATGATAATGTTTCTATGTTCAACATTTTATGTCACGGAAAACTTTGATAGAGTTGACATATCACAAATGGTTTTACTATATTAATATATCAACAGTTTGAATTGGAAGTAAAGTATCTGTTAACCTTTATCATTCCGATAGAAGAACGGTACATTGACAGTGTTAATAAGTGTATATGTTCTGGACCAAATCAAAATTTGGCCCATTCTAAAACGGTGTGATGATTTCCATGGGAATGCCAAGACCTAGAAAGTCGCCATCTTCAAATCACAGGTGATTATGTAGAGTGTGGCTGTAGCATTAATTGAGTATCAAATATCGTGCAAATTATTCTTGTTTGAAATTATAACACATGCCTACTTAGCAGAAACTTGCAAAATTTTCGAGCTATCGCTTTGTTAACGCAACGACTGCGTGGCGTTACCATATGTTTAAACAGTACCACATTATTAACGCCAAGTAAACGCACAGTTACACGCACCAAATTGATGTGCCCGAAAAAGTTAACTCAGCGTTAACGTTCAATCGAATTTAGCATTCAAAAATTAACATATCGCGAGAAACTTAACATAACTCCTAACGGATGTGCCGCATCGTTACCGCAATGTTACCACACGTTTCACAAGACAGGATAGTAACGTGCTGTTACCGTGCTATTACCGTGCTGTTACCGCGAAATTGCGTTCGTCAAAAAATGAAGATAACACTTTCCAGGCATCATAGTTAAAGACGTAATAGTCGTACTGTATTGATATTTTATACACCCATTAATGATAACTATAATGAACGAATATGTAAATTTTATGAGCACAGGGATTCTTGGCTTTAATTATTGACGACAAGATCGATTTCGCGTTTCGAAGAATCAAGCCAATCGTTATATGAAAGTTCAAAATCTTACTTAATATTCCGCGTCAATTTTTTTACACATATCTAGCTTGATACCCAGAATGGTATATCGTCAATACTTGACCTCTTTGAACACGTAAAGTCTGAAAAACCCATATGTGCCAACGCAATACTCAGTGCATTCCGCATAACCAATATACAGGCCAATAAACAGTAATTCCCGGCGGGTAAAGTTTGTATGACAAAAAAATTTTTCAATCTCAACTTTATTCACTTGTCTCCGTTACGAACTTCAGAGAGGCTGGAATCGGATTGCGGACAACCACAAGTACGAATACATCTAGAGCAAAACAGTGTATAATTACAAGTCTCTCGTGCATAGTCTCATCTAGTCGTACACGATCCAAACCACTAGCTGGGCAATGACTGGGATGTTGGATAACCGTGGTTTGAAGTGAGTATGAGGAAAGGTTTGTGCTAATAGTAAATAGATCATTGTAAATGTTAATATGGATTCTGGTTTGTAGAGAGCAAGAATAGTATAAAACTTGAAATAAAGCGACCAGACGTGAATTTTATGTCAACTGAGAAAGTAGGACTTCCGTCAGATATATGTTATCCCTCTTGGCATTTGCATGTATATTCGTATACTCGCCTCAATTTCATCACTCTTGTCAATCTCAAACAATTGTCATTAGGCTCGCATATCGACACATCAAACATTGCTTGAAGTATTACGCTCTGCTGCGTTATAATCCGGCATCGCGCATCTCGCACCCAGTAGTCAACCGTCAACTGCTCTCAAAGATATTTTATTATTTTATTCGACTGAAATTGAGAATCCGCTTCCAGTTATTTCTTAATCCTTCGAGATAAGGGTATTCAAGACTATGGCAAGTATGCTTCATTCGTTCGTTTACATTTGCATTAGCACATGGAAATGTTAGGCGTTTGGTCCCCCCATCCCTAATCATTCTTTCCAAATGTACTCAAGGATAATAATAGACGAGCTGAGCCTCAAACAAAACTGGGCCATGCTGAGTAAAACAATGCACGAAACTAAATTTGAAGACCATATCTGCTCCGACTGTCAGCATGTTTGGTATGTAGAGGTTCGCGGTGGGTTTAGAGATGTGATGCAACAATAACACGTTTAACTGTAGGATTGAAACGATTATCCACGGTAACTTCTTGATGGCCAATTCTGATGACACTAAAGTGTTTTAATGGTATATATTTATTGTTGCCATTATGTATTATAAATACATTTATCTCTTTTGTTGGCAATTAATTATAATATGGCATTTCATTGTTAATCATGCATGCTAATTTTAAGATTAAGGAATGGATTCTTTTATTGTTATAATTAAATACATGGCAAGTTTACTTTTTGGGTTTGCTAATGTGGAGTACTAGGAGTCAACTCGGGGTGTATCAAGGAATAATTTCTGATGGGAAGAAATGCAACTGTTTAGATCTCATATTCTAGATAATGCAGCGCGAATAAAATGTGTATTGCAAAGTTCAGTCATTTTTATTTTTCACAGCGACCTGATTTTTGGTAACATTTAGTATATATATTGAAAAATTGAGAAACAAGTCGGACATAAACAAAGCTCAGTATATAACGATAATAGCTGACGGAGTATCATATTTCTCGACGTACGTCTTCGTCATTCGGTCTCCTGAGGAATGATGCATACGGTGGGAAACCATTAGAGGTAATGGCTGCATTCAACTAAAAAAAATTAGGCAAGTCGAGGATTCCGCGAGCCTGTATAAAAGCAACAAACCAAACAAGTTCAAACAACGCTGCATGGATAGAATAAAAGAAGGCTTTTAACGCAAGGAGGGGTTTTATGACAGAGGAGGTTATGACGGAGGGGACAGATAATGTCATAGTCAGACGGATATGGAGGTATGAGTAAACGGGATTTTAGCGAATCTACCCCACTTTTCTTCTGGGAACTAGCAAGAGAAGAAAAAATACTTCACAAGAAACCACTATTAAATCTGATTATTAAACGTTGCTGTTTTTATTTATTTCATACCATTGACGTTATTGTTCCGAAAAAAATACAATTGGGCGTCGTCTAGCCAGCAGTGTGATATTACAAAGATGCCTCTCGATTACGGTTTAGTTCTGTCAGCAGTGTTCGCTTCATCGTTTACATTTCGTCGACACATCAAATCGCGGGAGAAGCCTCATGCCGCTTCTTCATAAGCACGTTATCTAAAGAATAAACAGAAGTTTTTAAGAACTGCTAAAAATAGATGGAAGATTGTGTAAGAATCTGATGAAACGATCTGTCTCAGATGTTGATGAAGAACCAATGACGATTTGAGTAATATACACGCAATAGTCACTGAGGCTCTTTAGTGGAAGCAACAGACACCTTAAATGGGAGTCAAACTAAAGAGACAATCCAGTACATCTGTCATATGACCATTCGGCCAAATGGTTATATAAACAGAGGCTGCCTCTCCTTCATCAACTCATCTTAATCAAGATACACTTCATAGTGAACAA